TCCCTCGGAGCGTCAATCAGCGTTGTTTAAGGATACTGTTGGGGTTGGGAGGCGATTTTCGGTCGAAATTTCAATACCCACTTTATTTGATAGATCGCACCCATGTAGCACCCCGGGCAGCTATGTATACGTAGAAATTATGTATGTAATGTATTCAGCAAACGGTGGCGACAGGATGCGACGCTTGGCACGTCGCACCTTATGCCAGTATTGAATTGACAAGCGGTGACAAACGGTGACCGCGTCTTGATGCGACGCTTATAGCGTTTGGGACAACCGCGGTGACAAATGGTGACGGCCTCTTGAGCGTAGGGACAATAGTGACAATGGTGACAAGCTGGACGTTACTGGAATATTACAAGCATAACAAGTAGGATTTTACACGAGAGAAATATGTAATGTAAATCATACAATATAATACTAGTAAATATTACAATCATAACAAGTACGATTTTACGCGAGAGAAATACAAATATATTTACCTAGAATCCACAGCGGCGTGTGGCAAAGAATGGTGACGTTTGTGTGGATCTAGCTTATATGCTGCCCAGGCGAAACCGGATTAACTGATTTGGCAGGAAATTAAAACTAGATTTTTTGGCGTGAAATAGCAAGCGATGCTGTCGCGCCCGTTCCACGTCACAGCGCATCGCGTCACCTATTCTCAATACTTGCTGATTTCGATACGCGTCGCGTCACCTGGCCGTCCAGCTTGTCACCGCTATTGTCCCAACGCTCAGGAGGCCGTCACCATTCGTCACCGCTTGTCAATTCAATACTGGCATAAGGTGCGCCGTGCAAAGCGTCGCATCCTGTCGCCTCCGTTTGCTGAATACAATATATGTAGCATCCCAACAGTTCCAAATCCCCGCATTAGTAAATTTTTAACACGGGCGTTCAATCATTGGAAATTTAGAAAAATGCTAATATCTCCATTGTTAGAAATGCTGAAGTTGCTGATTTTTCAAACGCTATTTCTCGAAACTCACAACTCCAATTCCAAAGATTTTTGTTACGTTTCAATGCTAACATATCAAAAGAAAAATGATTCCCTGGAAATTTTTTTAAATATTATATTTTATAAGTTATGGTAACCGCCGCATCGCTATGATTCGTTATCCAATTGGGAACGATAGTTTTTATCTTTTCCCTCGGAGCGTCAATCAGCGTTGTTTAAGGATACTGTTAGGGTTGGGAGGCGATTTTCGGTCGAAATTTCAATACCCACTTTATTTGGTAGATCGCACCCATGTAGCACCCCGGGCAGCTATGTATACGTAGAAATTATGTATGTATTGTATTCAGCAAACGGTGGCGACAGGATGCGACGCTTGGCACGTCGCACCTTATGCCAGTATTGAATTGACAAGCGGTGACAAACGGTGACCGCGTCTTGATGCGATGCTTATAGCGTTTGGGACAACCGCGGTGACAAGCGGTGACAAATGGTGACGGCCTCTTGAGCGTTGGGACAATAGCGGTGACAAGCTGGACGTTACTGGAATATTGCAAGCATAACAAGTATGATTTTACACGAGAGAAATACGTAATGTAAATCATACAATATAATACTAGTAAATATTACAATCATAACAAGTATGATTTTACACGAGAGAAATACGTAATGTGAATCATACAATATAATACCAGTAAATATTACAATCATAACAAGTACGATTTTACGCGAGAGAAATACAAATATATTTACCTAGAATCGACAGCGGCGTGTGGCGAAGAATGGTGACGTTTGTGTGGATCTAGCTTATATACTGCCCAGGCGAAACCGGATTAACTGATTTGGCAGGTAATTAAAACTAGATTTCTTGGCGTGAAATAGCAAGCGATGCTGTCGCGCCCGTTCCACGTCACAATACCTGCTGATTTCAATACCTGCTGATTTCGATACGCGTCGCGTCACCTGGCCGTCCTGCTTGTCACCGCTATTGTCCCAACGCTCAAGAGGCCGTCACCATTCGTCACCGCTTGTCACCGCTGTTGTCCCAAACAATATAAGCGTCGCATCCAGACGCGGTCACCGTTTGTCCCCGCTTGTCAATTCAATACTGGCATAAGGTGCGCCGTGCCAAGCGTCGCATGCTGTCGCCTCCCTTTGCTGAATACAATATATGTAGCCTCCCAACAGTTCCAAATCCCCGCATTAGTAAATTTTTAACACGGGCGTTCAATCATTGGAAATTTAGAAAAGTGCTAATATCTCCATTGTTAGAAATCCTGAAGTTGCTGATTTTTCAAACGTTATTTCTCGAAACTCACAACTCCGATTCCAAAGATTTTTGTTACGTTTCAATGCTAACATATCAAAAGAAAAATGATTCCCTGGAAATTTTTTTAAATATTATATTTTATAAGTTATGGCTCTTTGTTTACGAAATTGTTGCGTTTTGAAAATCACTACAAATTTTTATACATCTTATCTTTTCAACTTATTTATTAAATTAAAGCATTTCAAAAAATTCCAGGGAACCTTTGTTAGTTCATATCATGAACAACTTATGGTTCAAAGTTTAGGTCCCAACTCTTTGCTGTTTCTGAGAAATAACAAAATAAATTTTTTTCGTGTAAATTCATAATTTTTGCCGTTACTTAATTAGTCATGATTTAAATCGAGAGCGTAGAGAGACATCTATCTTATGTAATGGATATGAGTTTGATTGAATTTGATGAGCGGTTATGTTGCAATGCCCTTTACAATGTTACCCGTCCGTACTCCCTAACAGTATCCTTAACTGACGCTTGTGTGCAGACATCATCATTGTATCCGGTGTTTCACACGCCAGTCTCAGTGCGATGTCTCTGATACACTCTCGGCTAACTGACTCCCTCTTAACCCCGCCTCATATCACTTTGGTCGGATACCATTTTACATAAGGTGTTTATTAGTTTGACTCGGGAACGACGCTGCATTGCGAGAACAGGGTCACAGTGTGTCAATGTGTCATCACAGCGTCACAGCGTCACAATGTGTCGTCACAGCATCACAGTGTGTCAATGGGTCGTCACAGCGTCACAGCGTCACAATATGTCAATGTGTCGTCACAGCGTCACAGCGCCACAGTGTGTCAATGTGTCGTCACAGTGTTACAGCGTCACAATGTGTCGTCACATCGTCACAGCGTCACAATGTGTCAACGTGTCGTCACAGCGTCACAGTGTGCCAATGTGTCGTCACAGCATCACAATGTGTCAATGTGTTGTCACAGTGTCACAGTGTGTCAATGTGTCATCACAGCGTCACAATGTGTCAATGTGTCGTCACAGCGTCACAATGTGTAAATTTGTCGTCACAGTGTCACAGCGTCACAATGTGTCAATGTGTCATTCACAGCGTCACAATGTGTCAATGTGTCGTCACAGCGTCACAATGTGTAAATTTGTCGTCACAGTGTCACAGCGTCACAATGTGTCAATGTGTCGTCACAGCGCCACAGCGTCACAGTGTGTCAATGTGTCGTCGCAGCGTCACAGCGTCACAGCGTCACAGTGTGTCAATGTGTCGTCACAGCGTCACAATGTGTAAATGTGTCGTCACGTCGTCACAGTGTGTCAATGTGTCGTCACAGCGTCACATCGTCATAATGTGTCATCTCTCGCCGTGAGCACGTAGAAATGATGGCGCGTTATTTGTCATTGGCGAGCAGAACTGTTCATCAGTCCATGGCATCGAATTTTTTATAATTAAAATCGATTATTGAAATTAATTATGGCGATGCGCATTCGGTTTGACTTCGTTCACGGCAGCGTATTGATCAGAGATGATTTGCTTTGTGCGCTAGCTGTGGTGGAGCCATGGTCGGACGCCCGCGCGTGAAACCAGCACCGCGAAATTAACGCGCTGGTCACGATGTTATAATTGCTAAATTGCTTTACATAGTAAAAGTTAAAGTACGTTGTAAGAGTTTATTACTATGTAAGCGTATACGCAATGAAACTGAGAAATGTCAAGCTGCTATGTATCGGGGCGACTTTCGCACGCTGCGCTGCGCATGTACGCTTGCTCACAACCTAAGGCGAAAGGATGAACTCACTGGACTGTTTTAATGCGGGATCTTCGGGCCCTAACTCATTTCAGATTGCGGTAACCCCC